TTCTTCCACAGTTTTGGTGCTCATGTGTTTTGGGGACAAAAATGAATCTGTCATTACACCAGAGTGTTTGTTTTCAACTCACAGATCAAATGTGCCTTAATAAAATTTGTTTTTGTTTAGATTTCAAACAGTTGATAGGCTTGCCATTTTAATACACATCATTGGAGATCAACTTATTTGTAAATAGCCTGTTGCACATTTGGAAAAATAAACCAGTGGACAATATTTTTCTATTGTAAAAAAAAAAAAAGACAAGGATGAGTTAATATCTATCAATTATAACTATCAATGCTAATGGCTTCAATTCACCAATAAAAAGAAATAGACTGGCAGAATGGATTAAGAAGTACACACAGGTAATGGGGAAAAAATAAGAACAGAGATACATCATGTTCAGGTACAAGCACCCAATGATAAATGTAAACGTATTATATACCTAAAATGTACCAATAAAAGAATTTAAGGGAAAAAAAAGAAATTTGTAAAACTTATTTTGCAAGTATGCAAAACTCCTTTATTTTTAAAAATTTAATGTTATTTTTGATTGACATGCCATAGTGAAAGTTGGCCTCCTAGAAGCTGAGACTGAAAGCGGTCACCAGTGACTGGGGGGGAAGGAGGAGACAGGGGAGCAGTGCTGCCTTTAGACATGGGAGGGAGTCCTGGGGTCTGTGCTGTGGGGTTGGCAGTCATGGTCGACAACAGCGTGATGCATAGCTCAGGAAGCAAGGCGGGAGGACGTGGAATCTTTCACCACAGACAGGTGGAGAACGAGGTGGGCTTGCTCATAACATTGACTATGTCCTTGCATGTGTGAACATGCCTGTGTTCCTTCCTGCTTCATCCACTGGCAAATACAATCTGCCCCGGGGAAGACCTGGCCCTGTGCCTCTCACACTATGCTTGGGGAAGCATTAAACACAGTAAAGGTGCCCAGGGCAAAGGACGGTAGGTAACAGAGAGGGAGTTCAGCCAATGGGGCACCTAGTGTCTCCTCAGCTGGGGCCAGGAGACTGAATCCCTGAGCTGAGTCCCACAGACATGATTCAAGATTCATGGAATCGCTCCAGGCAGCTCACCCAGCATTATGATGGGTCTGATTCAGAGGTCACTCCTGATTTCCATAAAGGATGTTCCCTAAGATCCTAGCATGCACTGTACCCATCCTGGAGGCATCCATGGATGAGTTCCTGGCTGAAGGAGCCATGAGGGGGTGGGGCACTGTTGCAATGGTCACTGGGGCTGACCCTGGCTCCTCCCTTCTCCTTCCCCTTCAGCCAACTGTGATGGGAGCAGGCTTTTCCCACCAGGCCATTTCTGCCTTGGAGCCAACCAACCATGGATTGACCCCACTGAAACTGTGAGCCACAAAAAAAGGCTCTTCCTTTAAGTTGCAGGCGGCAGGTATTTCGTCCCATTGCTGGGAAAGTGGCTGAGACAAGGTGCTTCTCAGTGTGTCCGTGGTGATGGCCATAAATGTTGATCTGTACAGATGAACTCAAAGGAAAGGTTCTCAGGGAAAGAGGTAGCACTGGATATAGGACACAGAACCCCACTCCCTGGAGTACAGATCAGCTTGCTTTCTTTAAACCTCAGTTAGCCAAGGAGAATTTAGTGTTGTCAGCAAAGCCATCAAATAATGGGTATGTGTCTATGTCACACGCTGAACATTTTACTCCCCCTCTCCCCTCCCCTCTTCTTCCTCTCCAGATCCCTTTTCATCTCCATTGAGTCTAGCTCCCTGTTTCCTGCTACTTCTCTTTTATTTGGCTCTTAAAATTGTTTACATTTTTAAATTTCTCATGTTAGAGAAACCGTATGATATTTAGCCTTCTGAGTAGGTCATATTTCACTTAGCATTATAGTCTTAAAATCCACCCTTTTTCCCACAAATAACTCTAATTTATTCTCTTTATGAATGAGTATACTCTATTATGTATAACATATATATGACTTCCCAATGAGTATTTTTATAAATGAAAAATTTAATTCTCAAATTCATTTGAATTGGATTAGCCAAAATAATTTTAATAACCAACTCCAACAATAAATTTTAATGGCACACACTTCCAAATTTCAAAACATTCTCTAAAGTTATTCATATAAAACTAGATTGATGTAAGAGAATTGAGCCACATAGATAAATCTATACATCTATGTTGATTGATTTTTGACAAAGTATCAATGGGAAAAGTGACAACTGGAATTATATCTTCTAGAGAATAAGGACTGATTCCTTCTCTTAACCCACATACAAAACTTAATTCAAATAGGTTAGAGACCTAAATTTATACAAAACTCATATGTAAAACATAGTAGCAAATACTCATTATTTGGATTAGTCAATGGATTCTTAAACATAACAGCAAAAAGAAAGCAACAAAAGAAATGAAATCTATGAGCTGAACTTCATGGAAAGTGAAACCTTGTGGTATGAAGAATTTAAGTCTTTTGGGAAGATGTCTAAGGGACTAGCTGGGTCAAATGTATGACCTTCCCAAAAGAAAGGGAAAGAGGGGATGAGGAGGGAGGGGAAAATAGAATTAAGACGTGCTATGTACCTAGACAAACTCCCCATGGTGAATGATGAACATAATCAGTATGTACTGCAATAAGGGAGTTAATAAAAAAATTGAAACTTTTTGTCCACCAAGAGTAAAAAGACAACATTTAGAAAATGTGAAAGAAAATCAATATATAAAAAATTCTTACATCTCAACAGCAAAGAAATAAAAAATTTAAAATGCACAAAGGACTGGAGTAGACATTTCTTTAAAGATCAGCACATGACCAACACACAGCAGGAAACACATAGCCTTAGTAGTCATTAGGAAATGTGAATCAAAAGTACCCTAGAATTCACTTCACACCCACTGCAATGGCCATGAGAGAAAATTAAAACTGGAAATCACAAGCGCTGGTGGTGATGTGGAGAAGGGGGCCACATGTGGCCTGTGGGGGTAAATGGTGCTGCTAAACAGGAAATTGTGGCAGGCACCAGTAACAGGGCTCAGGACTGCACAGACCAGCTGCCCTGCCCCAGGCTTGTGCCAAACCACTGAAGAGAAGCACTCAAGGCATGGTGAGTGGGGGAGCATTTGGAGTAGCTGCATTTACAGAGGCAGAAAAGTGGGAACAGCACAATACCCACAAAGAGGGGAACAAACACAAGGAGGCAGAGTTGTCCCATGTGAAATGCTCAGCTGTAAGTCACAGTGAACACCTGACATGGACCACACCATGCAGAACCTGGAAAACAGTATGCGGAGAGAAAGAAACCAGACACCAAAACCACATATGGTGTGGTTCCACTTATGTGTAATATCCAAAGTCATGAGATCCACAGAAGGAGAAAGCAGAAAGGGGTTGCTGAGGGCTGAGGAGAGATGGGCAATGGGAGTGACTGTCCCATGCATATAGATTTTTCTATGTGGGGTCATGAAAAAGTTCTGGAACTAGGTGGTAGTAAGGCAAATCAAGAATAATGAGCACAGTCCAAACCCAAACCTAGTGCAAGAAGGGAAAACATAAAGATCAGAGCAGAAAATAATAAAATTGTAGCTAAAAAAATATAAAGAATTAGTAGATCCAAGAGCTGGTTATTCAAGAGAATAAACAAAATAGACAAACCCTTAGCCAAAAATATCAAAGTTAGGACAGACCCACATCAACACAGAATAAAAAAGGGGAAATCACAACAGGCACCACTGAAATCCAGAAAATTATTGACAACTGCTCTGAAAACTACTCCAACAAACTGGAGAATCTTGCCAAAATGGACAGATTTCTAGACACATATGAATTAGCAAAATTGAATAAAGAAGATATAAAGATGCTAAACAATAACCAGAAATAACAGAAGAAGAAATTGAGGCTGTAATAACAGCCCTACCAACTAAGAAAAGTCCAGGATTTGGTGCTGAATTATACACGACCTTTGGGGATGATATAACAGCAATACTCCTCACACTCTTTAGTGAAAGTGATAGAGGAGAAGTACATCCACAGTCATTCCTGGGGGCTAGAAACTCCCTGATTCCAAAACCAGACAAGGAGCAAACTGAAAAGAAAACTACAGGCCAATTTCTTTATTGCCTATAGATACAAAAATCCTCAACAAAATACTAGCAAACAAAAAGCAATCATCAAAAAAAGATCATACATCAAAAACAAGGATTCACCCCATGGGTAAAAGGATGGTTCCACATGCACAACTCAAGAAATGTAATCTATTACACAAACTAAAACTAGGACAAAAATCACATCATCACCTCAATAGATGCAAAAAAAAAAAAAAAAAAAAAACCCCTGACAAAATCCAGCATTCATTCACTATAAAAACCTTGAAGGAAACAGGTATAGAAGGACCATGTCTAAATCTGATGAAAGCCATTTACAACAAATTGAAAACCTGAAAGCTTTCCTCCTGAAATCAGGAACAAGACATAGGTGTCTGGATCATCATTCCCATTCAACATAGTCCTCCAAACATTAGCCAGAGCAATCAGCAAGAGAAAGAGTAAAAGGGATAAGGAAATGAAAGGAAGAAGTCAAATTATCAGTTTGCAGATGACAGGGTCCTTTAGAAGACCCCAAAACCATCAAATGACTCCTAGAACTAATAATCAAGTTCAGCAACGTAGCAGGATACAAAACTACACGTAAAACTCAATAACATTATTGTACATGAATAACAAACCCATGAAGAAATATATTAGGAAAAAAAATCCATCACTAAGTGTTTAGGTGAAGCTAGATGTTGCTGTTAGGAGTAAGATTGCAATTCCAGCCCCGTGCTGAGTCATGCACTATGCTTCTCCCTCTTCCCCCAGGTGGGGCTGTCCCCACGGCCTCAGCCATGTCTCCAGCTGGCCATCAGAAGGCAGCACACTCCTGGACAGCACTTCTCTGGACATATATCCTGGTCACTGTCCATTGTGAGGCCTCAACTCCATGCCCCACGCCCTCAGGTGGCCCCTGCTCCCTGCCTGGCTGGAGACATGATGGACATCACCAACAGGAGCTCTTAGGGTGTGTTTGTGCTCCTGGGCTTCTTTGCTAGGCCAGCGCTGGAACCTGTCCTCTTTGTAGTCATGGCATCATTCTATGGGGTGTCCCTTGTGGGCAATGCGGTCATCACACTCCTCTCCTGCATGGACGTGCATCTGCACACAGCCATGTACTTCTTCCTGGCCAACCACTCCTTCCTGGATGTGAGCTTCACCACGAGCATCATCCCCCAGCTCCTGGTCAAACTCTGCGGACTTCGGAAAACCATCAGCTATGCCAGGTGCATGGCTCAGTTCTACATCTCACACTGTCTGGGTGCCACTGTGTGCATCCTCACAGCCATCATGTCCTATAACCATTATGCTGAGGTCTGCAGACCACTGCACTACATGGTCCTGATGCACCTGAGGCTCTGCATGGGCCTGGCCTGTACCTCCTGGCTCAATGGACTCAGCACCAGCCTGGTGGGCTCCATGCTCACCATGCTGCTGCCCCTGTGTGGGAATAACCACATCTACTACTTCTTCTGCGAGATACCCCTCATCATGCAGCTGGCCTGTGTGGGCACCAGGCTGAATGTGCTGGAGATGTACCTGGCCAGCTTTGTCTACATGGTGCTGCCCCTGAGGCTGATCCTCCTGTCCTATGGCCACATCACCAAGGCCATGCTGAGCATGAGGATGGCCAAGGGGAGAAAGCCCTTCAGCACCTGCTCATCCCACGTGGCTGTGGTGTCCCTGTTGTGTGGGAGCATCATCTTCATGTACCTAAAGCCAGCCATGAACGGCTTCCATGAGCAGGGCAAGTTCATGGTGCTCTTCTACACAGTAGTCATGCCTACGCTGAACCCACTTATCTACACCCTGAGGAACAAGGACATGCACGGGGTGCTGGGCCACCCCATGCTAGGGCCCTGTGGTGCCTCAGGATGCATGGCTAGAGAATAGCAGAGACACTGGCCACTGCTGAGGGGATGAGCAAGGCTGTAACAACAGTGACTCTGGACAGCAGGCCCAGAGGGGCCATGGTGGAGTCCAGGGGGAGCAGGCACCAGTGTGCATACACCATGTCAGGCCAAGGTGCAGAGAACACACTTTGTTTTCACTTCTCATTAATTATCCAAACCTTACTAAATTGTTTGTATCATTTTATATGTCACATATAGATTATTGTCATCTTGTTAATGCTGTCATATCTGTGGGAGATATACATATATATACATTAATTTTATATGGCTTTCTTAATTGCTCATAATAATCTCTGCCATGCAGTGTGCCTGAGCTGTGGGAAGCCTTTTATGTTTTTCCAATGTGCACAGTGAGTCTGCGAGATTCACATTCACAACCCTGTACAGATCAGGTAACTGTAGGAACAGTCAGCCCTCCACTGAGATGTAAGTCCACATCTGTCTGTGGAAGTGGGTACATTTTTACTTAGCCCCCTTGGGTGTAGTAGGAGACACATATTTGGTCCCAGTTTGGGCACAGAAATCCTGAAAGCCTGTACCTGCCTGAGGGTGGGGACAGAGTCCTCTTATGCATAACTAGTCCCTGAACCCCAGAAAGTGTCTTCCTGAGCCCTGCAGACTTTCCTGCACATGCCCAGCCCAAGATCCCATGCACGGGACAAGCAGCTGCTGGCTTGGGCTTCCCTCTGAGGGAGGGTGGTGGGCAGGATGGAGCCCTGGAACCTGCAGGGTCTGAAGTGAGCGCCACGTAAGTGATGACAGAAAGGGCCCGACTTCCAGGAGACACAGTTGCTTCCGGGGGAACCCTATGCATTTGGTGTCAGACTGGCTTTGGTCAGAGACATCATCCTGGAGATCCGTGTGTCCAGGGAGCAGAGCTGAGCTGTGTCATCAGTGGTGAGAGGGCTTGGAGTCGTGCTCTGCACTGGCTTATCTGCATCTCCTCAGTGATGGCTTAGACTCTCCAGGGCAGCTCTGGACCTGTTCGCAGGACATGTGAGGAAGTGTCTAATTATGCACTTTTATCTTGGCTTGCCCTGCTGTTATACCCACACACCCACTGGCCCTCACTGAAGGAAATCTATTTCAGCACACAATACCATCCTGAGAGAGATAAATCAAGTTCATGGGCTGTCACTGGCTGTTCTGATTTAAAGCTCAAAGCAGTCTGATAATGTTGAGGATGTTGAGCATGTAAAGATCAGAAATCCTGTTCAGAGAGAAAGTGGTGTTGGTGCTTATCTTTGAGCACAGCACACATGGAATCATCTACTCACAACATCATGCATGGTTATTCTTCAGGCCACCTCCTCCCCCTCAAAGTCCTGCACTCTGAAAACACTTCCACTTTCTGATCAAACACATTCCTAAGTGTCACACTGGCTCACAGAGGGCTTTTTTTGGTCAATACCAGCAAATACAGGGAGACTTGGATTTGGATAAAACTGCACATACAGTGTCAGGCCAATAAGAGCTCAGCCTAGCAACTGTGAAACTCCTCCTTAGCAACGTGCATTTCTGATAGTTGTAAAGCATCTTCAGGTGTGTGTAATGTGGGAACCAATCTCCCACATGTGAGTAGTCAATCTAAAATAAGAACAGGATTAAAAGATGATGAAATGAAGTACTGATCTAAGTTCAGCCAAAATGTTAATCCATTCACACAGCCTCCTCATCCCAATTCCCATTATATTTGCTTAATCACGTGTGGAGTTGATGAAGAGTGGGCACAATTTTATCTCCTTTACTAATATCAATGAGTTATCTCCACACACTAATTGCTGGGTTTCACCAGGCACATTTTGGGGCAGTTCATCCGAATCTGCTCACACATTGTCACAGTAGGGCATGAGTTAGGCACTTTCATGGCCCCATTTTGCAGCTGAGGAAAATGAGGCCCACATAGCAGGGTCAGCTGCCAGAGGCTCATCCCCGGTTCAGAACGCTATGCCCTTTCTGAGTGTTTTCTCCTTGAAAATCCTAAGGTCCCCACTGAGTCAGTCTCTGGAATGACCCCGAAAGAATTGAAGATCCTTCCAGCTGGTGAAGGCCCTGGCTTCACAATGGTGTGTGGGTATTTGAGCTGTGTTTTCAGTTTATTTTTCCATCTGAAATGTGCATAGGTGTCTTTCTCTCTTTGAATTGTTTTCTTACCATGACCCTCAGAATGTAAATTATTGGCACAAGGGTTGTAGCCACTTCCTCTGTCTTAGACAGGTTCTGCAGGTGTCATCAGGGGAGTGGGAAGCCAGATGTGGAGCACTCACTGCCTCAGAACCTGCCTTCAGAAGGAGGAAGCCTCAGGCCTGCTCTCCTCAGCGCCTGCACTGAAGCCAGGTCCTGCCTCTGCACCACACTTCTGTACTTCTCTGACCCAATTGTGTTTCTCCACATCCCCCTCACCACCCACACAGCACTGGTTCTCAGCTCTGGAGCACAGAGTTGTCTCCCATCTCTGCCAGCAGTGCAGGGCCTCTGCTCCTCCCCTGAGCTCATGAGGAGATGGATAGCACCGCCCACTGCCTGCTGCTGTTCCACAGGGAGAATGTGATGAGCCTGGCAGAAATGGGTCCAGATTCGGGGAAAGCCAGGCTGATCTTTGCCATCACCTGTGGGGCTACTGAAATAATCATGATCCTGAGAACATGCTGACATCAAAGTGTGCCATTTGAATATTTTAGTCAAGAGGAAAATTCCAAAGACATACACAGGTTTACGGAATCTACCAAGAGTATTATGAAAACTGGAATTAAAGCCAGAGAGGATGCAAGGGTTACTGCAGGACTCTGCCCAAACCAGGGAGACGATCAGGAACCCAGGGCAAGGAGAGGAGGAGAAGTGAAAGTGGAAGGGCTGTATAAGCAGAGATGCCAAGAAGGCTGCGATCTTCAGAGAGGGCCATGCCAGCTGCAGCAATCCCAGGATGGAAGGTAGGGGCAGCACACTTGCTGGCTCCAGGCACCCTCACTGTCTCTCACTGTGTGCTCCCATTGTCTGGACCCAGTCTCAGCCACCTCCAGTCCTGCTGGTCCATGCAGAGGGGCACAGAGCACATAGATGGGAAGGTGGTGGTGCTGGATTCATCACTGATGACTGTGGAGTGAACCCCTGGGCATGGTGGACCCTGGTCAAGTCCACACAGACAGCGTATGGAGCACACGCTAGGCCCAAATGGAGACTGATCCTGGGGAGTCTGCACTGACAGGGCCTAGAGCAAGCAGATGGTGTGTGCGGTCTGTGGTGGGGTCCCAGACCAGAGGAGTATGGGGATCCCCTCTGGACACAGACAGGATTGGTGACAGCAGTTGGCAGGGTGCACTCAATGTCTTGGATAGAGTGGGACAGAAGAGGGAGGAGCCCCCTGGCCCCAGGCAGGGAGCCACCAGGGTGGATCTGAGAAGAGGAGGCTTGTGCACCTGAACAGGAGAGACCAGACATAGGAAGCAGGGTCTCAGGCCCAACATTCCAAGTGAGGAGGTCACACCTGGATGAAGCTGAGTTTTATGCTTTCAGGTCATTTAGGGGCAGGAGTGGCTTGTGAAATGCCTTTGTAGGATGTGGTTTAAATGTATGATTATTGAAATATTTATTGTAGTAAAAAATACATTGCTATTGATCTTCCTCAAAATCCTCCCCCTTGCCTTGAACACGTTTATGCCATCATTCCTGCCACTTGCAGAAGCAGCTGTTGATGTCCTCTTTTGTATCTTTGCTGCACTTTCATAGCTGCCTCCATGTGCTGAATCCCTTCAAAGCATTTAGCTTTCATGGACATTTTGCCTTTGGGAAAGAACCAGAAGCCACACAGTGTTAGATCTGGTGAATAAGGTGGATGACGACACAGCATGGTGCATTTGGGAGCTGCCTTGGCACTTGGCTCTGGCATTCACTGTATTCTTGACCAAACCTGATAAAGACACTGAAGAAGGAGGACTTCTAGGACTGCTTCAGAAACCAGTAAGAGTGATATGTGTCTTCAGTGTGAGGAGGGAGTTTGAATGGTCCATGACAATATGTATTTACTATAATAAACTTTAATGTAAATCTCTGCTCTATATTTCGATCATCCCTTGTATGTTTGTGAAGTTATGCATAGAAATACAAAGTCTCCTGTGCCTGAGATTTCTTAGCCTGTTGTTTTATGATTTCTACCTCAGGCTTAGGTTTTCAATCTATTCTTTCTTGTGTGTGTGTGTGTGTGTGTGTGTGTGTGTGTGTGTGTGTGTGTTTCAGAGAGAAGGAGAACATGAGAGGGAGGGAAATAGAGAAAAGAGGAGACATAGCCTGTTATACAATATTTCCCAAATACTTACATGTTAGCCCCAAAACAATATCACTACTTGTAGTTTCATTACTACCTAGAAACTATACCTCTGCCATAATCACAATTTCATCAACATACAAATTTCTGAGGAATATCAGTTCTATCACGTGGAAATTCACTCACCCATGTCCATGTGTAATGCACCGACAATAACTCTGGATATAAAACTCACCTTGTAATCTAACAGAGCACAACATCTGCCTTTATTCTATTTGTCAAACATATTTTTATGGGTATTACTATGTTTTGCTCCACCCAAGTGAAGTCATAAGCTCCCTTCCTGCTCACCCAGAGCTGCCTCCTGCTGGGACACACATCAGGGCTAAACGTGCTCTCCTTTCCATGGCAGGAGAAACATCTTGGTGGACTGACCCTTGTCCTCAGCACAACCCATGTGTGCTGCAGGCCTGGCCCCTTGCTTCATGACCAAGCATCCCCACCTCACCCCTGTGCAGCCCTCTGTCTCTACATGCAAGGAAGGTACTGAAACCAGACTCAAAAGGCTGCTTTGAGAAGTAAAGTTCTAAGAGTTAGGAAAGTACACAGGACAGCACATAGCACCCTAAAACCCAACACATTAGCAAAACCAAATACACTAGAAATTGTGCCCAGTGTGCTACACATGGACATAAGTGAGTGAATACCCATGCACTAGA